ATACTTTCTTTTCCTTCATCTCTAAGAATGGTATGTACATTAAAATCTTTTTTTTTCCTTTCCAGAATGATTCTTCATGGCTTTATCAAATGTTTGCTTTTGGCAGTATTTTCTTGTACTGAGGTGACTGATGTACAGTGACTTTCATTAGTTGATTCTCAGTATATTAGCAGTGTTCTGTTTTTTCAGACCTGATCTCTAGAAAGAAGAGCCAAAATAACAATAATTAAAAAAAGATGAAAATATACTCTTTTGCTGAAACCACAGCTAAGCAGGTTCAGGTTGCAAAACCTAAATTTCTATGAGTATTAGGAAATTACTATTAGTAACCATTTTGAGAGTATCTCTATAGTCAGTCTGACCATTTAATGGAAAAATGGAGAGCAAAATGCATTTTTTTAACTGGATATATTTGTTTTCTTCCAGCCATCTTAGAAGAAAGGCAAGTTTTTATTTACAAGATGGCAACATGGGGTAACCACGAGTCATCTCTATGTTCTTCATGAGAAAGTATTTAATCTCAACTTCTTTTCAAGTGGACACGTGCTCAGCCACAAACAGTATTGTTCTTACAGTTTACTCCCCAGCTTAAGACCAGGACACCGTAATACCATGTCAAATATTTCAGGATGGTATCAATAAAAAATCCTGTGATTACAATGCCAGTTTTAGTTGGTGACTTTGATAACTGAATGGGCTAAAATTTGGTTTCGTGCTTTTAAAGATAAGGGGATGCTGATGGAGTCATAGAGCCATATGGGTACAACAGGAACTGTTCCTTCCTTACTAGCCAAAAAAGATGCAAGAGAAATAGCTAGTCTCTGTCACTAAAGCAATTGGCAGCGTTTTGTATCAATCTTTGTTCATACTATTTCTTTAACTGTGCTGTTGAAGATATCAAAGTGCTTGTTTTTAGTTTTGATCCATTTCAATTTTTAATTTCATTTTTATAGCTCATTTCTGGATTTAGGTTTGGGTGGTTTTTTTTTAATTTTGGTATTTCCTATTCTGTTGCTTTTTCTGTTCAGTGTTCTCTATGCTTCTCTGTAGTTTTCTCAGTATCATCTAATAGCAGCTGTTTCTTTTTCTGGCTATGTGAAATGTTTCATTCCTGTTCCTGAATTCTTGTTTCATTACAAGACTTGTGTACCAGAGGAAGATTTCCAAACAGGGCTTAAGTGTGACTTAAGTGTTGCATAAGCACTGGTATTTGGATTAGTCTGCTATAGGTACACCTTGCCTTTAGCTCAGCTGAGGTATAAAATGGAAGTCTGAAATTCCCCTTTGCCAATATGGCTAATTCCCCTATTAGACCACCTGGTGTATGTTTACCAGGAAGGAAAAGTGTCAGTAAAGACATGGGCTAGTAACAATATACTGCTAAGCATCTGGCTTAGTACACCTGCTTTGCAGCTGCTGTATTTATAGGAGTGGTACAACTTAGAAAAGCTGTGAGGATTGCGTGTCTTGGTAGTGCCAACTGTGAGGCTCTAGGGGACAGGGTAATTAGCACACATCCTGCAGACAGTGACTTCAGCAGCTTTTGCCCTGAGAGCTGCTGCTGTGGGGGTGCTTCTGGTGTGCTGCCTCTGGAGCCTTCTACAGTCATTGAGTAGTCACCGAGTCAAGTGGGGGCAGTTTGACTTGTTCCCAGTCCAGCCTGACACACCATATTCCATGCACACAGTAGGATTAACACCTAGCTTTCCATTCAGAATGTAGAAGGGATTTCTTTTGGCTTCCACTATGTGATAAACAAGACATTTTATTTTCATTATAGTAAAAGGGCTACTCTATGAGATTGGCTCAGTTGGTCAGAGAATGGTGCTAACACCACCAAGGTTATGGATTCAATCCATTTATGGGCCGTTCACGTAAGAGTTGGACTTGATCCACCCTTGTAGGTCCCTTCCAACTCAGAATCTTCTGTGATACTGTGATTCAGAAGAGGCTTCCTAGTATATTCAGAACCACACATACTGGCTCACAGTTTTTGGGATACCAATATAGGTATCATGGAAATGAAGTCTGTTGTTGTGGAGTTGTATGGATGCTAACTCTGAAGCAGGCAGCACAGTGCCTGTAGAAATTGCAGGCCACATAGCTTTCTCAGTCTTGCCTGAGAAAGTGGCCTGGGAAATCATGGGGAGGAATTGAAACAATCCTCAGAGACAGAAAACAGCCTTGCAGGTGCTGTTTGTCTATTCCTTGTTTTCTTGCAGGAGAAGGTCGAGGGGTGGTCAGCCCCACTCATCAATGATGGTGATATGTTAGTTTACTAACCAATAAGAGTTTCTTTTCTGTACTTTTCACGTATCAGTCTATAAAAAAGATCTGAAGCAATAAACCGAGATAAATTCTCCTGATCGACTCCCTAGAGAGTCTGTGTCGTTCTTCTCACCGTTCCTAATAGAGCGACAGAGTCGGGTAGGTCATAATTGGATTTGTGAGGTTTGTTTCATTTTAGTTGAGAAAAATGCAAAATAAGATCTTTGCCTTCTTTTTATTAAGCTACTTGGAAATTATAAACCATAAGAAAGGGAGAAATGTTTGCTGACAGTAGGCCTGCAATGCACTGAGAACTTACTTTGATTCCCAAATGCTGTGGCTTAACCCCAGACACAAACTGAGGTACCACACAGCTGTGTGATCACTACTCCCTGCATACACACTACCACCTCCCCTGCCACAGTGGGATGGGGAAGAGAATTAGAAAAATAACAAAAAACCCCTGACTTGTGTGTTTAGATAAGAACAGTTTATTAATTGATACAAACAAAATTATATGAATTGTAATTTTTAAAAAAGGAAAAACTAAATCCATAAGAAACAAGTGATCCACAACACAGTTGCTCACCACCCACCAATTGATGCCCATCCTGTCTGACTAAGCCTGGTTTCTATGGTGTGGAATATCCCTTTGGCCAGGTCCTGTCCCAGTTTTTTGTGCATCTCCCCGCTGTCTCAGACATGAAACATTGAAAACTCCTTGACTTCTGATAAGCACTGCTCAGCAACAGCCAAAACATCAGTGTGTTATTGTGCTGGTTTGGGCTGTGGTAGAGTTAATTTTCTTCACAGTGACTGGTCTGATGCTGTGTTTTGCATTTGTTCTGAACAGCGATGATAGCATAGAGTTGGTTTTGTTATTTTTGAGTAGTGTTGTTGGGTCCCAAGAGTGCAGTCCTCGACCACCTGCTCTGGGATAGCCACAAAATGTCAGGTCCTGGGAGCACAGTCCTGGACTGTCTACTCAGGTAGATGATATTTGGGATACCCCTGGGCTAAATTAGACAGAACAATGCCAAACAATCAAGTAGAAAGTTTTATTATGGCAACAGTGATGGCAGAACTAATCTTTCTTTCCAATCTTACTCATATGCTGAAAAGTGCTGAATATTCAGAATCCAACTGCATCAAGGCTGTATGTTCTTCTTCAATGGAGAGTCTTATCAGTGATTCCAGTAATGGTAGTGAAATAATTTGAGCTAAAATGCATTATAGGGTTAGACCTATGGTTGGGTTTGGTGCATCCATACAGTGAACTTAACATATCAATTATTCTGAGGCTACAGTGCACCTATCAGCCCTGTCCAGAGGTGTGCTTGAGTACAGAGAACATGTGAGAAACATTCTGATGAAGAGGTATGGGAGCCTTCATCCTTCCAGCAGCAAACAATTATACAAGTAAGAGAGTAGGCAGAAAGTGAATGATGACATAATTCACTCTGTTGTTGGATAAAATGTTCTGTTGTGCTTAGTGTTTGTGCCAGCTGTGTTTGAGATATTGATAAATTTTAGTTTGGAATAGGCTTAGACATGGTTTTCAACAGACACTGAGGGAAAGAACCATGACTGTTCCCAGAAAAGTCCCCTGAAAGCTTCAGTTGGTAAACAGTTTTTCTCTGACCTTCACATAATGATTATTAGCTTTTTTCCCAAGTTAAAGCTAGTTGCAATTTCTTGGAAGACGGAGACTTTCTGAAATAATTATACATACTTGATGTTTAAAATCAAACCAGCATCAAAAAGAAATCAGTGCTAAATCAAAATACAGATGCAAGTGATTTGCTTATATTGCATAGTCTTTGATCAAACTGCTAAGCATCTAGATTTCATTGGCTTACATGGCATCACAGAGTTTATTGCTTTTTACATCATTTGCCTTTACTTGGAGTTCACAGTACTGTTGCTCCTTAGCAAAGGTGTCATTCTCAATTATGTGAAGAACTTGTGCAATGTACTGTTTAATTAAATTTGTTGGCTTCCAAAGGGCATTTAGGACTTACACCCCCTACATTCGCTCTATATATGTAACTTTGAAGGGGATCACCCAGAGAGGAGGTGGAACATTATTTTAATGCACTTTTTGCCTGTACTTTGGTGTATGTATGGAGAGTGATGTGTCAAAGTTCTAATGCCTGCCTTTATGCATTTGAGAAGATGAGGACTGGTTAGGTGGACTTCCATAAATGTCTACTTCCCAGCAAGACCTGGGAGTGGTGTTTCTTCTCGACTGCCAGGTCTCAAACATGTTTCTAAGTATGAAAATAACATTGAAAACATTCCAAACACATTAAATGAAAAGACAAGCAAGAATAAAGGGAATGCTTTTGTTAAAACACAGAACATGAGTGGAGCAACATAATGCAGCTACTCTAAGAGGAAACATTTCTGACAGTTTTGTCAAGCTCAAGAATGCAGATCAGTCAATCTGCTGGTCCGGAAAAACAGATGTGGGTCTTACTGTGAGTGCAAAAGAAGCCAGCTATGCAGGAAAAACCCAACAGAGAAGTGTACTGTGCTTGACATCCAATTAAAAGACTTCAGAGTTTATATTCAAACTAAAATAAACAAGTTTTCACATCTGAAGCAGGGAGAAGGGAAACCATAGATGTCCTATAAAAGCAAGACACGTCCAGAGCCTTTCCATAGCAATTCATTTAATTAGGTAAGTTTTGGTTAGAACATTACAGTACTTATCTATTGCTCTGCAACAGGGATCCTGATCCACATGAAGGTTTTTTGAAGATCCAGCACATCCAGTTTCAAGTTCAGCAGTGGCTGAGGAGAAATAACACAAAATTCCTTATGTTACTTTTACATCAGACAGGGAGAAATAAGGCCCTGTAAGAACATTTTACACAACTCAAGAGTCTGCAAACCTGACCAAGACTTTAAAATTTCCAAGGACACCTAACAAGAGCTGGGCACAAAGGAAGAAACACATTGTGTGCACATGTGCATATCAGTCAACTGCATTTCTAAAGCTAGTGACATTCTGGAGGCTACACACGACTCCAGTGGCCCTCAACAGTGCTTCTTAACACAGCCCCTGCAGAGCTCTTCAACCTCAAGTCTTTGCTTTCCTTCAGTGTTCAAAGCTGTGCTTTATTGGAATTCTGCAACTACACAGCTACAGTCCCTGCAAAGCAGTGACTCTGGAGGACCAACTATCATGAAGCAGGTGGATTTCCTCTTCTGGCCTCAAATTGTAGAGTGTGTTTTATGCTCCACGTTGCAAGCATTGAACTCATTGAACTCAAGCTTGCCTAAACAGTAATGAATGATCTCTCCCTAAAGAGATGTTGTCTTTTATCCCTGATCGTGTTCTTCTTACTTATTCAAAACAGGACTGCAACACCTGAGCTACAAAGACAAGCCATGAATCATAGCAAGAAAAATCAAGATCTAACAGTAGGAACATGTATGGTATAGTTTAGTACTGAATGCAATCCATGTACATGGAAGGAAGGAGTGGCTGAAGTCTGTAAAGAACTATAAAAATATGAGGGCTTCTTTGATATTTTTGCTGCTAGTGAAGGGCAACTTCGTCTTAAACCAAGTGTTTCTGTGTGGGGCAGTGGGTGAATTTTCTTTTTGCTTGTTTTTTTCTAGCCAAGTGCGTAACATTCTATGCAATATTTTGGGAAGCAGGAATTTTTTCCCTTCAAGTCTAAACTGGAGAGCTAGCAGGAAAAAATCTCTGTGCTTAGCAGGGGAAGTCAAAAATAAAGGCTTGAAAGCTGTTGAGACTTAGAAGCAGTCACCTTTTTCCTTAATAACACTCCTAATGTAATGACACATTACCTTCTTTCAGTTCCTTAGTGATTTTTTCATCCAGTTCCTGTCGTACCTAGAATGATACGTCAAATACACGGTTAAGACATAGTATGACCCAAATGTAACTGCTCAAAGTCCTACAACATTCTTATACCCCACAGACAATGTGATAAAACCTAAGAAACATCATCCCAAATGGAGATGATGGCCTGTGATGGCCAAGAAGATGCCGAAGGCCTTGGACCACATGAGCTATGTGGAAAGGCTGAGAGAGCTGTGACTGTTTCTTTCCACGAGCAGTGAAAGCTCCTTGTCTGTGTGTATTAACTACCAGGTGGGTGGAGTAACAGAGATGGAGCCAAACTCTTCTCAGTGGTGCCAAAAGAACAACTCCCCCCAAGCCTCAAGTGTTTTTCAAATGTGGACAGTAAAATCCTGGAGAAAAGGGACCCCTCCAGAAAATGAAATGAGACATGGGTAGTGGAAGGAAGCAGGAAATCTAAAGCCTAGAGCAAAAGATGGCCTAAAGCAACACTAATCCTAAGCAACACTGTAGTAGTTGAGGTGACAGAAGAAACCACTTTCCCCAGTTTACGAAGCCTTCAGAATGACCAGAAGGTCCACAGGACCCTCTGCAATGGGATGTGCAGATGAATCAGGAGAAGAAAAAGGTCTTGTTTGCCCCTCATTTATTCCAGTAACCTTTTTGTGATTCTCATCCCTGCCCAAGGAAAGAGAAATAGGTGGAAATAAAGCCAACACATGGATTTCTCTGAAAAGGAATGAAAAGGCCTTTGAATGAAAATACTCCTTTGAGGACTCTGACAGTGTCCCCACTGTTCTCCTGGCCCCCAACCCTCTGGAGAAGGCATCACTGCTGACTAGCCCAAACCTCCTGGGCAGGCACCTCTCACTGCTTAGCTCTTCAGGCAGTAACATACTGGGTGACTTGCAGCAGTCACCATCTCTGTCATTCTGGTTCAGGAAGTGATGTTGACTTTCTGCTTACCCAGGGAGCTTCTTGAGCACAGGGTAAGTTGGATCCTCTAAGACTCCATGAGATGATACTCAGGGTCTAGGAGCTCAACTTTAGAGCAGTACTGCTACTCCACACACAACTGCTGTTGCTACCCAGAACTTTTTGACTGTAAGAACAGGCAAGGGCAGTCAAGAGCCTTCTCCTCTAGTTTAACCAAGTTCCATTAGAAGAGATGAAATCCATACATACGGTGCCATCTTACAGAAGTGGAACTACCACAGAAGCCATAACTTCACAAATACATAAAGCACAGAAGTACTCGGCAGCAGTCACTCTTTCACTCAGGGAAACCAGCAACTTCAAAGTATTTCCAGCGTTAGGCCAATGTGAATGCATCAGCAAGTTTGAATCAAAACCTAACAGCATAAATTGACAAAACATTTGCAGTAGCACTGAGAGAGAAGATTTTTGGTTAAGGAGCTGAGGAAGAAAGAAAGAGAGCCTTAAGTTCAAAGGTCTTCAGTGAGACACAAGAACGTGACCTACATGTACATGAGGCAAGGAAAAAAACTCACAGTAGAAAGAACACTAAAATACAAGAGGGCAGTTGGAAAACGAAATCAGAAAAGGAACAGAAGTTGAGAGAGCACAGGGAGCTGACATTCCCTTTCTCACATTATGTAGGGAAACTGATTTCATAAATCCACCAATTCACACTGGCTGCAGCTAGCAGAGTTCGCTATTCTTTTCCATGTCAAGATACCCACATTCATTTGCAGCAGCCTTTGGCACAGCTGTTAGGATGGAATGTCAGTTTGTAAATATAACAAGCGGCCTTGAGTCCCAAAATCTTCTTGCAGCATTTGCAATACTTGTAGCAGATAGCAAGACATTCCTAGCCTTGGGCTATGCACTAAGGCTTCATTTTCCATATTCTGGTACACAGACCACTAACAGTACTTCCTATTTATGACTGTGAGAGGGAAGACCAGATTTTAAGACTTTAAATTTTTACAACCCTGATGACCAAAAATCTTCAGCCTTACAATGTAGTACTGTGCACTGTTCTGAAGATTAGCAGTTTCTTTGGCCTATCAGACAATGTGGCATGGAATAATAAATGGATTCTAACTTCAGGCTGAAAAGGACAGCCTTGCATACAGCTACTCTTCGGCAGCAGTTGAGAATGGTATTTCAAAATGCTTACCTTGGCCACAGAGGCTGCAAGCCTCTTTCTTGACAATAAGATCTTCTCATATTGGCTTAGGAAGCTTCGTCCTAAACTGAGACTTCTGTTCAGTCCTAAACTGTTGCCATGATGTCCCAGGGCAGTTGAATACAGAACTGGAGTTGCAGCCAGACCTCCACTGACAATGCTGCTTGTGATTAATGATTTGCTTTTCTGGCGCTCCCGGAGGAGCTTAGCATTGGCTTCTTCAAGTCTCTCATTAGCTCTGAAACATTTGGAAGCACACAAACAATTACCTTTGTAACCAAAGTTACTCTCCAGGTTCTTGACTATTATTTGATTTCTGAGATGAAGAGCCTCCAAAAATAGTCCATCATTTCACCTGAGCTTGTTTGGAGGGCGTGTTTCTAAGACGTCACACTAGGGTGCAAAGAGCAGCAAGTGTCACCAATGCTTAGGACTGCTCAGCACGAGGGCTTCAAAGCCTTTTGTGAAAGCCATGTGTTTACCCAGCTTCTTCTGGAGGGTGTGTCACCTCCATAACAACTCTGGGCTTCCCTTCCCAAGGAAAACTCAGAGCCACTGCTTAAACAGAAATCAAAAAAGATAATTTCTGTTTTTCCTTCACAGAATCCAGTTCTGTTCTCTGAGGGGCCTATTCATACACAGAGAGTAATGGACATGAAATTAATCTTTTGTGTGGTATGCCAGATGAAGAGATTATAGAGATTGTTAAAAAAGCTGCCAGTTAAAACAGTATCCACTTGTAAAGTATGGTGTTAATGCCATAATGTTGCTACTGTGGTGTTGCTGCTGAAACACTAAAAAAAAATTAAGAGAAGTCTGGTGAAGGGTAAGGGTATTTCACCAGAATTACACCATCTCATGCTTCTACACCTGACACTGAGCATGTGGAGAAGAGCGATTTGGAAGGAAGGTGCATGAGGAAACAGGAGTCACTGTTATTATTACCACTCAAAAAAATATGGACATGCCTTTCCAGTTCCTTTGCTTGGCATTTGCTAATTTTCACTTCCTCCAGATATAGCTCCTTGTACTTTTCCACTTCTGCCTGTGTACATTGTTTTTGTAAAGTGCTCTCTTGTTGAGTATTTTTTATTTTATCCAATTCACACTCAAGATCTCTAATTCTGTCTTTTAGCTGGTTGGTCTGTGAGTCATGATGACTGGCTCTGCTTTGTTTTATGAAGTCTTGAATGGCTGCCTGTTCCTGAAAGAGACATTTCACCTTCAACTACCACAAAGAAAAAGAATTCTCCCCACTTGTCAATTACATCTATCCAAGTTCAAGGGCCTAGCTTGGCTCAGAGGCTGCTGTGCCTCCTCACTACCATCAGCAATTAAGGCAGAACTCTGGAGCTTCTGTAGTATAGTAAATAATTCTTTTCACTCAGGACGAAGCCCAAATCAGTATTACTATTCAAAGCTACTAATGAAAGGGCACTATCTCTGTAGGACAGGGCATGAAGAACACTCAAAGGCCACTTGCTGTAACAGACTGGTAGATCCTCAGCTGCATTCTCAGGAGGCTCTATTCAGCAGAATGCAGAAACTGAGCTCCCCTTTACTCCCCAGGAAAACTGCACCATAAAATTTCCCCATACATATATATGTAATTAGGCTCAGGAGTCATCAAAAGGTAAATCTATGAGCAGCTTACTGAGGTAGTGGCTTGCAGTTCTCTCTGCAGGGCTTCAATCTTGTTCCTTTGTTGCTGGACAGTGGCTTCCAAACTGGTCTTTTCAAATCCAAGGCTTAAAAAGAAATACAGGTCTTATTATAGAAATCTCCTAGAGCACCAATTCCAAAAGAACAGAGTAAAATATTTAAAACCAAGAGCATCATTCAAAACCATAATGATTTGCTGTGATGCAACAAGGCTATGTATCTATCCTGTGGTTTCTAATGAGCTTCTGCGAGCAACAGACACTTCATCCCACTGTGGTCTTATCTTACTGTTGCATGTGTTTTTCCAGTTGTTTCACAGTCTCCAAATGTACCGCCAGTTGGTCCTGCAGTTTCAGGGCAGTAGCTGTTGTTTCTCTTTCCTTCTTATCCAAGGTAGCCACCAAGTTCTGAACACAACGCTCAGAATTTAGGTATTTTTCTTCCACTTCCCGCAACTGTAAAATCACAGAAAGAATCCACAGTTGTCACATGAGCATTTAGACGGAGGAGTCAGCTGCTGCCCAAGGATTCAGATGCTGCAGGTATCTGCCCTGTGCCCAAAGAACTGTAATCATCTCAAGTACCTTCAAAGCTTTGCTTCTACTAGCAAACGTACACAAACTATGTTACTTCCTAATCCTCTACAGTGGCCTGTCCCATCCTTCCACAGATTTCCTAGAGCACGGTTCTAAGCACTAACACTGCTGCTTCAGCTCTTTTGGGGACCTGTGATGATGCTCTTTGTATTCACTTTATTTGCTACTGCATGAAAGCATGGACTGAATTGCTTTTATTCCTAAAGAAGGAAGAAGTCTTGGAAGTGTCAGAGGAAAACTGCTGCAGCAGACCTGCTCTGGAGCACAGCATGGTGCCAGGGGGAGTTTTCTGAAGTGGCAGAGACCTCAAATGCAGCATTGAGAGAGGTATCCAGTTCCCCCTGAGTGGGAGGTGACAGCAGATATATCCTGGTGAGCACCATTTCAGAAAAAGGTCTGAACCGTGCCGTCAGACCTGCTCTGGAGTTGGGAATTGCACCAGGGTGCTTGGGGAGTGTTCCTGAACCAGGAAGACCTCAAATGTAGAGCAGAGAGAGGAAGCCCCATGCCCCTGACTGAGGAGTGGGGAAACCCTGAGGAGAGGCAGCTAGTGGGGGGCAGAGGCAGGAGGGACTGAGGAAGATCAAAGCCCGATATAACCACCACTTCCTTAGACTTCTCCTGCTTCCTGGGATACTGTCTTGTTCTTTTTCAGGATGTATTGGAAGAGACAGGCACCCAAAGCTTGATTCTGAAGGCACAGGCTTTCCCTTACTCTGCTAAAACCCCAGACAATTCCTTAGGCAAGTACAGGTTGCCTTTCTCCAGGTCAGCCTTTTGGCTTGTAGTAACTGCTAGTGAAGCTTTGGATGTAGATTGCTCTAGAACTGCATTGGCAACCTTCTGCTGCAGCTGTGGAGCCCTAGGGAAATGGTGTTACACAAGCATGAAGTTTTCACTGGGCATATTATGGGTGCTTTTATTTATTCAGTTGCAGAATTAGGCCTGTTTTCAGCGTGAATTCAAACAAAGAAATGCTGCTGGCCACCAGAAGGTAGCCAAAAAATCGTAGTGAACTCTTCCTTCTCCTTTTCCAGCAGCCTGATGCTGCCAGGGGGAAGCAGAGAAAACTTCACTGCTTCTATTCAAGACTAGAAATGCCACTCAAAGGCCACTTGCTGTGAAAGCAAGGTAGGTCCTCAGCTGATTTCTGAGCAGTCTGTATTCAGCAAAATGCAGGAATCAAGCTCCCCTTGGCTCTTCAGGAAAACCTCACCATAAAATGTGCCCACAGAATTAGGTAACTAGGCATAGGAGTCATGAAAGGGGGAATTCATGAGCAGCTTACTGAGGCAGAAGCTTGCAGGTCTCTCAGCAGGGCTTCAATCTTGTCACTTTGTTCGTGAACAGTGGCTTCCAATTTGGTATTTTGAATTTCAAGGCTTAAAAAAAAATGGAGGTCTTATTGCCATAAAATCCACCAGAACAAGCACTAATCCCAGATAAACAGCATTGAAGTTACAGAACTGAAAGCAAGAATCTCCTTCAAAATCAGAGTATCTATCCTGTGGCTTCCACCCAGCCCCTGCAAGCAACAGACACATCTTCCTACTGCGTTGTTCCCTTACCGTTGCACATGTTCTTCAAGTTGTTTCACAGTAGTCTGGTTCTGAAAACATGCTGACAGCTGGTCCTGCAGTTCCTGGGCAGCAGCTAGCTCTTCTCTATCCTTCTTATCCAAGGCAGCCATCAAGTTCTGAACACAATGCTCAGAATTAAGATATTTTTCTTCTACTTCCTGCAACTGTAAAATCACAGAAAGAATCCACAGTTGTCGTGTGAGCTTTGAGACAGAGGAGTCAGCTGCTGCCCAAGGGTTCACATGCTGCAGGTATCTGCCCATACCCTGTGCCCAAAGAACTGTAATCATCTCAAGTACCTTCAAAGCTTTGCTTCTACTAGAAAATGTAAAAAGTAACACAATGTACAAAATGTAAAAGTAACACAAACCGTGTTACTTCCTAATCTTCTACAGTGGCCTGTCCCATCCTTCCACCGATTTCCTAGAGCACGGTTCTAAGCACTAACACTGCTGCTTCAGCTCTTTTGGGGACCTGTGATGATGCTCTTTGTATTCACTTTATTTGCTACTGCATGAAAGCATGGACTGAATTGCTTTTATTCCTAAAGAAGGAAGAAGTCTTGGAAGTGTCAGAGGAAAACTGCTGCAGCAGACCTGCTCTGGAGCACAGCATGGTGCCAGGGGGAGTTTTCTGAAGTGGCAGAGACCTCAAATGCAGCATTGAGAGAGGTATCCAGTTCCCCCTGAGTGGGAGGTGACAGCAGATATATCCTGGTGAGCACCATTTCAGAAAAAGGTCTGAACCGTGCCGTCAGACCTGCTCTGGAGTTGGGAATTGCACCAGGGTGCTTGGGGAGTGTTCCTGAACCAGGAAGACCTCAAATGTAGAGCAGAGAGAGGAAGCCCCATGCCCCTGACTGAGGAGTGGGGAAACCCTGAGGAGAGGCAACTCTACCTCAGCATGGTGAGGCGTGAAGGCAGGAAGGACTGAGGAAGATCAAAGCCCGATATAACCACCACTTCCTTACATCTCTCTCCTTCTGGCTCCCAGGATACTCTTTTGTCCTTTTTCATGATGGACAGGAAAGCATCAAATACCCCATGATTTAATCCTGTAGGGACAGGCTTTGCATACCTCCATTTCAATCCTCTCCAACTCCTCTCGCAAGTGCAGATTGTCTTCGTCCGTATCAGCCTCGTTGCTTGTAGTAACTGCAAGAGCAGTCCTAAAGCATCCAAAATT